CGCTCGCGCCTCGCGTGAGTTTCGGTTCGCGGTCGTCGAGATAACGACGCGTCGTCGTTTCCGCGCTCGTCGACCAACTTCTACTCGTCCGAGCAAGAAAAGCGTGAGCTGTCGTTTCGCGATTTCGCCTACGTCGTTTGTCGCGTGTTTTGGTGAATCGATAAGCTCGAACGTTGTACGAGCCGTTGAAAACAGTGTGATACAGCGTCGATTATTATCATGGTCGACGGGATAGATGGGCGATACGGTAGGATCCTACGGTGTTCGTCGATCGGATGTTTTCTTTCCGAGGGATATCCCGAGTAAGTAGCGCGTAGACACGCCGAAGATTGCCGGTGCCCCGCGATCGTCGCTAACGGACGCGCGTGTTCTCTCGACGAGCGACTACCGTTCAAGGACGATCTAGTGCGTAGATCAAGGCCATCGAGTAAGCGGCCTTTCTTTCCCTCCCTCTGCCCCTCTCTCAAACGATTACGAACAACTGTAGGAACGAAGAAGAGAGAACCGCGAAGACAAGAGAATTATGGTGGAAGGGCGTGCAAGGGATTTTAGTTTGCGGTTTTCTCGTTGCCAGCCAGATATCGTGCAATTTGAATTCGTCCCGCGCCCCTCCCATTTATCGTTGGCCTGGAACTAAACTGGAATTTCAGGGTTGACCTTGGAGACCGCTTCGCTTATCGCGTCGTCAGTTGATGTTTATTTTTCACGAGACGTTAACTACGAAGCTCGGCGCGGTCGTGTCGGTTGCCCGTGCTTTTTCCAACCTACAGTTTCTCAGGAATTCGCGGTGGCCGTGAAAGACGAGCAAAGCCACAGGTGGCGGTCAGAATGAATCAATGAATCAATGGTGGGGCGGGGGAAGGGGCGAGTCAAACGATGTTTTCGCTCGCTTCGCGTGCTCGCGACGCTCGTTTTTCCTCTGGCTTTGCTGTCGGGCGACGAAGGCCGGCCGATCGACGCGCGCTAATTACCTACATAACCGTTGACTCGAAAAATACGAGAATACGCGCGTCTTTTCCTTCCGCGACGTTCGAACGTCGAGTAAAATTGCAGAACGTTCAGCCTTTAGCCGGGCTACCCGCGCTCAAACCACTTTGTCAGCGTTATGCAAATGGAGCAGAGAGCTCGTCGTCGCACGCACCGACAGCGAGCAAATTATTCGCCGGTTCCGAGAATTCTAGGTAATAATTAGAACGTGTTAGGGAAATTGCGGCGGCGGAGTCTCGACTCGG